GTATATATTATTCTCTCTCTTTATTATTATGTTGTCACTGTACACACATATCACTCATTTGACAAAAGTTGTTTTCCTTTTACTTGTGCAGAATGCTATCTATTTATAGATCCAAAATAAACTCATTAATACATTGGATTAAATATTTCTATTTCCTCTTCTTGGGATCTTGTTCCCCCTTAAATGCTGAACTTTGAGCTATTCTCCATGGCTTAGAGTATTCTTGGAATCATGGTTGCAGAAATATTTTAGTAGAATCTGACTCTATACAAGTTGTTAGCTTACTTACTAGTGATGGTAAGGATACTCGAAAGCTTCCACTGGTGGCTAAGATTGGAGTGTGGCTACAAAAAGATTGGAGTGTGGTTTTATTTCATATCTCTAGAATTAACAACAAATGTGCTGATTGAATAGCTAAAAAGGCTGTTGATGATGAATATGGTTTAAAGCTAATCTCTTCTCTTCATCCGGATCTGGCTAAACTTATGGATGCTGATAGTCTAAATTCTGGTTAATTTTTGTTTTGATGTTTCCTAACTGTGCTATTTAAAGTTTTTCTATTAGTTTCCTGCTTTAGTTTTGATTTCGTTTTCTTGTTTGGGGGCTATGCCCCTTCTACATATGTATCAAAAAAAAAAATTCTATTTCTAGGACAGAAAATAGGGCCTATGCGTGTTGTTGCATAATTGGGTTTTAGTTTAATTCATCTATATCATATAAACGTCTCAGTTTCAAGTCCCATCAATGTGATTATATGCTTTTTGGATAATAATTAGACCTAGTAGAATAGTAGTATCCTGGGTGAAGCATGATGATGGTAAAACCGTGTCTACCCACACACTCACCCTTGTGTACATAATTTTATTTTGGTTGTGCTGCACTTGCAGGTTCAGTGAAGTCGATGATGGCATTGTGTTGGCTTATGATGTCAACTCTCCGGTTACATGCACAGAAATTCTCCGTGGAGTTCGAACCTTACCTTGGGTTTGGGTGGGTAGGGTGAACCACTGGCTACTAAAGGTTACCCTATTATGTCGTCTTTTCTTTTTTTTTCTTCTTGCAATTGACATGTTCTCACCACAAAGTTAAATGATGATGTTAGAAATATAATATAAAGTATTTCGAGTGTATTAGAAATATTTAGTAATATCGAATATGACATAAGGCTAGTATTTTTATTGAGAAAAACAAGTGTTATGCAACAGGAAAGTGATTTAGTTTCCTGTAGACTATTCCAAATTTGTGTTTTTATGTTTTATTTTATTTTTAAAAAAATTGTGGTGGATTTTACTGGTTTCTGGTGTGTGTAGCATGACGGGACTAACGTCCTACAACATGATAATCGTTTGACCTATTTTTATTTATGGATAAGAGATAGAGATATTTGAAAAGGACCTCGGTTCGAATTTTATATGTCATTTTTAGAAGGGGTTTAAATATCTCCATTCCTGACTCACCCTGCACTACGTATTAGTTCCATACTCAAAACCTATGAGAATACCGAGGGGAGCCAACTCGCCTCAAAGAAATAATTAGGGTTACGTTAACTCTAAAAAAAAAAGAAGTGGAGATACTTGACAATGAAGTATCAATACCTCCAGCCAATTGTCTAATGAGAATAATCAGGATGTGTGTGTATATATCTGGAGAAATGAGAATACTCTAGGTGATACAAGGTTAAGAATGCTCCTGCATAAGCATGTATCCGCCCCGACTCTATTTCATCCTTTTATAGAGGGCTTGTGGCAGTTGGGAGTGTGTGGGGTGATCCGGAGTATGAAATCTATATATGGTAATCATAGGTGATGTAGTGGTGGGTGATCCCTCTTCACCAAGCACCCAGTGTTCGAGTCTCAGCCTGGGCCTCAATTCAGGAACTCTTTTCGGAACAAAAAATATAACACAAAAAATCTTTCATATGTGTTCAATTGCTCACCTAACTACTTAAGTTTTTGAGAGAATTAATCGCATGACGTGATGTGATATTAAAGTATTTGTGATCAAGTTATCTAAAGTTCGACCTTTGCCGATCTCATTTTAGTAATTAGCATTGGAATAGTCTATTTATGTGTTGTGTATGATTTTTCTTAGAAACACGGGAAAGGCATTTATGCAAGCAAATCTCACAAAAAAACAATGTTCTAAAGGTTAGAATCATATTACTCGAATTTTCAATAAACTTGTGGAGAAATTAAAGAAATTTTTTTAAGACACTTTAATTAAATGACTTCAAATAAGACTAGATGTGTTTGATGCATATGGTGTCTTGCATAAGAATCACTTTCGATAAACTGTTAGCCCTCGCATGACCTTTATTTATGTCTCTATCTTACAGAAATTGTGGGGTTTTTTTTTTATAATCTTTAGCTCAAGTTAGTGGAATTGAATTCACGTCTCTTGAAATATTAGATATTTGTGTTCGGCAAGTGCTATGATACCCATTCACTAGATGGGCATTCGTGCCTGGTGAGGAAGAGCAATAGAGGGAGAGCAACTAAGAGGCCAGGGTATTTTAAAGACTTCAACATGGGCTAAGCTATATAGACAGCCCAATAGATTGAATCAGTTTACTATACTATTTTAATTACCCACCGTTTAGTTTCACGGTTTTACATCCATTGTATTACAAATAGCCTTTTGGGGCTTAGAAGAAAGTATGAAAAATTCAGCAAACTCTCCTCTCTCTCTCTTTTCTCTCTTTCTCTCTATTCTTCTCTCTCTTGAGCATTCTATTACAACTTCCCTATTACATTGGTGCTTTCATTGAGCTATGGCAGAAAATACCAGACTCAGAGACCTTACCAACCAAGTTCAAGCCCATGACCAACAATTCTCTAATCTGGAAAGAACCGTTGACCATCGGCAGCAAACATTTGAGTTATCACAGACTCAAAGGTTGGATGAATTTAACCGGCAACTCCAAGAGATGTTCAATCTGCTTCAGAATATACAACAGCAGATGATAACCCTGACCACCAACCCACAAGCTGGAATACTGGGCGCATCTCCCTCACGTTCCCCACAACCGATCCGTTCTATGAAGATAGATTTCCCCAGATTCGGATATGGAGACCTAGGACCCTGGCTGTTCGAAGTTGACAGGTACTTCTGATACTTCCAAATTCTGGATCAGGATCGTTTGGATCTAGTATCCTTTAATTTGGACATGCCTGCATCTTGCTGGTTTGAAGCACTGTTTGCACATGGCCAATTTAATTTCCAGATTTGCAATTCTATTAACCAGCGATTTGGACCTTCTAAATTCAAGGATCCATTGGGCTCTTTAGCTAAATTACAACAATCTGGATCTGTTGTTGAGTTCGAAACTGCATTTGAACTAATTGCTCGTAGAGTTCCAGATTTCACTCCTTTAATGCGAAAAAGCTTGTTTATCACTAGGCTGAAACCCCAAATCCGCAGGGTAGTGCTGGTCCATAGACCAATAGATATGACGTCTGCTTTTGCAAAAATTTATGAGGATCAGTTTGCAGAAAACCGTGCTCCTAAACCATGGCTCTCACGCTCAAATCAGAATCCACAACCCATTGCAGCCTCAGCCATTAATACAGTACCTCCACTAGTGACCTTTAAACCCAATCCAGCTTTACCACCCATTCCCATTAAACGATTGTCACCAGCAGAAATGCAAGTTCATCGTGACAAAAATTTATGCTATAATTGTGATGAGACATTTGTACGTGGACATAAATGTAAGGGAATAGCTACCTTATTGTATTTGGAAGGGACAGATGATGACCCACCTGATATAACCCCAGAACAACCAACCGAGCAAGTAGTGGAGCTAACAGAAACACCATCCCAGGAGGTTTTTCATGAAATTAGTTTTAATGCTTTATTTGGGCATTAATCCTCAAACTCATTCAGGATGAAAGATAAAATTCATGGTCAGCCAGTACAATTGTTAGTGGATGGAGGTAGTACTCATAATTTTATCACATCTCGTATGGCTTCCCATTTGCATTTAACTTTACATGTTATTCCACCTTTTAAAGGTCGGGTAGGAAATGAGGATGCATTGTTATGTTCTGCCTCTTGTAATTCAGTTCCTGTTGACATTCAATCCCATTTATTCAACATAGATGTTTATGTAATTGAATTGAAAGGGGCATATATTGTATTGGGGGTAGAATGGTTATCAACCTTGGGTCCTATTGTTACGGATTATGGTGCACTAACAATGTCCTTCACTCACAATAATCACAGGTGCTACTTCAAGGAGAAATGGACACAAATCTCAACCACATAAGTTCCTCCCAATTGCATAAACTTAAGGTCCATGACTCTATTTCTTCCTGTTTGATATGCTTTTCTACCCAGTTGGACGAAAACAGTAAGGCTATAGACAAGAAAGAAACAATTCTAGGGTTGAATCAATTACTCCAGGAATTCACATATGTGTTCCAAGAACCTTCTTCCCTTCCCCCAGATCGGGCTTATAACCATCATATTCATCTGCTACCAAATTCAAAACCAGTGCGAGTTCGTCCTTACCGCTACAATGCCAATAGAATGAGATAGAGAAGTTTGTGACTGAAATGTTGAGAACAGGGGTGATTCAACACAGCCATTCAGCCTTCAGTTCACCAGTTTTACTAGTTAAAAAGAAGGATGGCACATGGCGCTTTTGTGTGGATTATAGAGCCCTCAATGTGATTACGGTGCAAGATAAGTTTCACATCTCAACCATTGACGAATTGCTGGATGAGTTACACGGAGCCACAATTTTTTCTAAATTAGATTTGCGCTCTGGCTATCATCAGATCAGAATGCAACCGGATGATACTCACAAGATAACATTCCGCACGCACCATGGACATTTTGAGTTCCTAGTGATGCCATTTGGTCTATCTAATGCTCCCTCCACTTTCCAGGCCACAATGAATACTATATTCTCTAAGTACTTTCGGCGATTTGTCGTCATATTCCTTGATGACATCCTGGTGTACAGCTCTTCCCCAGCATAGCACCTAGACCATTTGATGGTTGTTCTCAACACCTTAAGAGCACACTCATTATTTGCAAAAAAAGAGAAGTGTTCATTTGGTTGTTTGGAGATTCCCTATCTGGGACATACTATAAAAGGGGGTGGAGTCTCTCCTGATCCAGACAAATTGAAAGCTATTGTGGAGTGGCCCGTCCCATCCAACACCTCACAAGTGAGAGCATTCCTGGTGATTTCAGGGTACTACAGGAAATTCATCAAGCGATATGCATCTATTGCTAGCCCACTTACTGATCTGTTATCCAAAAATGGGTTTAGTTGGACTACGGAAGCGAACAATGCATTTCGTGAACTCAAAAATCATCTTATCACAGCCTCTATATTAGCACTCCCAGATTTCTCACAACCATTTGTAGTCGAAACAGATGCTTCAGGAGTGGGAATTGGCGCTGTCTTGTTACAAAATGAGAAACCATTGGCCTTCTACAGCCGCAAGTTATCGCCAGCTATGCAGAGATAGTCGGTATATGTTAGAGAAATGTTTGCGATTACTTCAGCCATCAGTAAATGGCGTCAGTATCTCATTGGTTCGCCATTTACCATACGCACAGACCATAGAAGTCAGCACAACTTGATGAGTCAAGTCATACAAACTCCTGAGCAGCAACAATTTTTTTGGGTTTTAACTATACTATTACTTACAAGACCGGCAAGACCAACACGGTGGCCGACAGTCTTTCACGATTACCTACAGGGGTGAAGCAGTTCAGCCACCCCACTTCTTGGCCATTTCTGGCCCAGTACTTAATCATACCAAAGTTTTACATTCCGAGTACACAAAAGATCCCTACTCTACGGCCATTTTACAACAAATAAAAGAAAGTCCTAGTTCTATGGCTGATTGGAGGATTCGCAACAACTTGCTCTTCCACCGTAACCGCATTTACATTCCAGCAAAGTCCTCTTTGATTGACCTCATCCTCCATGAATATCACACTTCGGTTCAGGGCGTCCATTTAGGCATCCAAGCTACCCTGCACAGAATCAACAGAAATTTCACTTGGAAAGGGATCCGCAAGGACACCAAAAATTACATACAAAGCTGTGAAATTTTCCCGAAACTTAAACCCCCAAATCACCCCCCCTTTTGGCCTCTTACAGCCTCTACAGATACCCGACACACTGTGGTCACACCTCAGTATGGATTTCATCACACACTTACCTCTTTCAGGGGGAAACACAACCATTATGGTTGTCGTGGATCGATTTTCAAAGGCGGCTCACTTCATTCCTCTGCTTGCACACTATTCGGCCTCCAAGGTTGCTCAGCTTTTCTAGGGTTTTTTGGGCAAGCTCCATGGCTTACCCGAGTCCATCGTGTCCGATCGTGGCCCGATCTTTCTCAGCGATTTTTGGCCCTCCTTGTTCAAGCTGCAAGGTACAAAATTAAATTTTAGTTTCAGCTATCATCCCCAATCAGACGGCCATACAGAGAGAGTTAATCGATGTTTGGAAAATTACCTTAGGGCATTTTCACATCATCATCCCTCTTCATGGTCAAAATTCCTCAGCTTAGCCGAATACCACTACAACACCTCCTTCCATTCCTTCACAGGGGTGACATCGTATTAAGTCATGTTTGGTCGCAATCCACCAAACCTTCTGGCATACTGTCTTGGTGCTTCAACGAACGAGGCTGTGGAGGCTACTCTCACTGAGCGCATGTCTCTCATGCATACATTGAAAGACAATTTGTTCAGAGCTCAGCAAGTGATGAAAGCTCAAGCCGATAAAAAAAGAAAAGACTGGAACTTTACCTCAGGGGACTTGATCCTCGTCCGTTTACAGCCGTACCGACAGCTGTCGGTTAACCACTGATCGTCACAGAAGCTGGCGCTACGGTATTACGATCCCTTTGCAGTAGAGGAACACGTTCGGCCAGTAGCTTATCATCTTAAGCTTCCAACCACTGCACGGATCCACCCTGTGTTCCACATATCCCTACTGAGACCATTCCGATCTGGCCAACCCTTCAAGGTCCACTCTTTCCCGAAGACGACGTCTGAAAATCCACTGAAACACACCCCTATGGCTATCATAGGGTCCAGGAACATATGGCGGAAGGGTGTTTTGGTGCCTCAAGTTCTGGTGCAGTGGTCAGATCTGCCTCCAGAAGTCTCCACTTGGGAAGATGAAACTGATTTGGCCATGACAGGGACCCTTAACATAGAAGATGAGGGACAAAAAATAGAGGATGAGTCTAAAGGGTATAAATCGATGGTTAAATACAAGAAAACTCAGAAGCCACTGTACACAGAGAAATGGGGTAGTGAAGAAGACGGAGAGGAACTCGTAATAGGGAAGACAACAACATTAAGGGGAGATATGGAAATCAATGGGGGTAGTGGCAAGAGAACAACATTTCACGAAGCCCCACTCATATCTGGGAACTCTAACTCAAGTGGTTGTCATCTATCAACTGACCCATTCCCACATGCAACGACTGCGATGATTCCTAAAGTGTCGATGCAATCTACACCACACTTGCAAGTAACTAGATCCCAGCTGGCATACAGTGAGAATAATCATCCAACAGTTCCTATCCCTCTCCCATGGACAGCAACATCTGCACCGTCTATAGTGCGCAATAGCTGTGCCCCTTTAGCTGCCAACCAAGGGTCAAACACGGTTCTGGAATCTCAGCAAGCTTTGGCCACTTTACCCATGCCAGCGGCTGACACATATCATTGACTTGAGGACAAGTCTATTTTGGATGGATGGGGTGATGTAACGGGTTTAAGGGTAGACGGAGGCCCTAATAATAATAAGCCCAATAGAGGAAGAGCAACTGAGAGGCCAGGGTATTTTAAAGACTTCATCATGGGCTAAGCTATATAGACGGCCCAATAGATTGAATCAGTTTACTATGCTATTTTAATTACCCACCGTTTGGTTTCACGTTTTTACATCCATTGTATTACAAATAACCTCTTGGGGCTCATAAGAAAGTATGAAAAATTCAGCAAACTCTCCTCTCTCTTTTCTCTCTATTCTTCTCTCACTTGAGCGTTCTGTTACAACTTCCCTATTACAATGGTGCCTATCCTAATTGGTAGTGAGAAATCACTACTATTATGTGTACTCAATTTTATCATTGTAGTAGCTAAAACTTTGCACAACTGGATCCGAAATTAACCAAAAAACGATTTAAATATAATCTCTCGTACAGTCATAGATCAATGGCATAGTTGATTCACCTATTAAATAATGAAGACAATAATGCATGCATCATTGATCACTAGGCCGCACGCTTATGTGCTTCTCTCTCTCTATACGTGTATATGTAGCTCAATAAGTGATCTAAATGATTAAACAAAGAACCCGCAACCGCTGGATAATGTAAGAAATTAATATAGTATAAAATATAAAATTATTTATATGATAATATTTAAGGGAAAAATGTTTATATTTTTACTGCAAAAAAAAAAAATTTCTGCCATACTCACATAAAAATGAGCGGGTCTTATTATAAAGAGAAAGAGTACCAAATGATGGTAGTTTAGTTGGTAGTAATTAAGGGAGCTGAGTAAGTGGAAAAGAAAGGGTCTTGGTTTGATCCCCACATGCTACTAGGGATGAAAGTGGGCTGCGCTAGGCCGAGTTTTGTCCCGAAAAGCCCAAGCCTATTCAAAAAAATTCCAATTTGACTGGCCCGATAGCATAGTACGAGTCTAACTGTTAGCCTAGCCTGACCTATTTATAAAAAAAAAAACCAATGGCCTGACTCGACCCGTTAGCATGTTAACTTTTAACTTCCAAGCAGAACCATGAATTAACTTTACATAATACTTAAATTCTGTTATTAAAACAAAAACCACAATTTTTCATCATCCCAACAGAACCATGAATCACAATAACAACTTATCACAATCTGCATTTAAGTCACTTTCAAAAGCAAAATTTCCAAACTAAATAACATATATTTTATCAGATCCAGCAAACCAATCTATACTATGTAAATTAAAATAACTTTATGAATCCTACAAACACATCATGATGCTTTTTAGTAGACAAAAACTTCTTATCATCTTCTCTCCCATGCAAATACAATTCCAAGGTTACATAAACAATTTGTAAATGTAGAAAACAAAAAACAAGATTAAAGAATAGAAAGAAAATAAGATTAAGAAACAAAAAACCTTTTTATACCTTTTGTATTTTCTTCAAGCCATATTTATTACGTAGCCAATCTTCACCACATATTAAAGCTTGGATGATATCTTCAGCCAAGTTAGAACGATAAGCATCAATAACTCTTATCCAGCACTAAATGTTGATTTTGATGTTACTGTAGAGATTGGTACAGATCTTATGCCCCTCCCAAATGTGGTATTGGTGGGGATCGATCCTAGGTCCTTCCACCACCTACTCAGCTTAGATGCATCAACTGAGCTATCATCATTTGGTACTACTATTAATAATATTATTTTATTTTATTTAAAATAAATAATATGATATAGGCCGGCCTGAAGGCTTATAGGCCTGATATGTAAAAAAAAAGCTTATGGCCTGCTTTCTAAATAGACTTTCTTAAAAGCTTGGGCCTCTTCTATTTGCCTATATATAGTTGGCCGAGCTTGACCTGATATAGACTAAGTCGTGGCTCAGCCCACTTTCACCCCTACATATCACCTTTGGGAGGGGTTTAAATATCTTCATCCCTGACCGCCCCGCACTCCGGTTTAGTCTCAAAGCCGGCTCAAAGAGTCAAAGTTTGTGGGGATATCGAGGGGATCCAACTTGCCTCAAAGAAGTAATTAAGATTAGGTTAACTCCAAAAAAGAAAAAGGAAAAATATTATTCTACATGCTTATTTTTATATGAATATGATAGTAAAAGCACTTAATTTTTTTAATGGAATTTGTTGCTTATCATAATATAGAGTATTAATAATTAAGTGGTTCAGAGTTAGATTCTTATTACCTTCAATTGACTCTAATACGAAAGAATTATTAAAAATATAATATAAAACAATTTATATGTCATCACCCAATACCTTAACTTTTTCAGTTGAATTAATTATGTGACAATTAATTATACCGGTTTAGTAACCGTTGAGAAAAGGCACAAACCTATGAGCTGAATTTCAATATTTTATACTTCGCTTTTTTTGTTGATGCTATATTCAATTAGAAGGAAATAGTAAGAATTTTCCCCTATAACGACTCCATCTGAGCTCAAATTCGATTAATCGTTTAATCAATAAATCAATAGATAAATAAATAAAAAGTATGAATATATAATGAGAAAAACATCTATCCTTTTAAAGGATATAATTTTATATCATTTTAGATCATAATCGTTGATTTCCGTCCATCAACGGTTATAATCTATTAGGTCAAACTTAATGAGCCAAATTTATTATTAATTAATTAATAATTTTGATCCAATAAATTATAATCGTTGATGGACAGAAATCAACGGTTAAGATCTAAAATGATATAAACTTCGATCCTTTAA